ATGCAGCTGGGCCTCAAGACCCTCGCCTGGATCCAGGACCAGGCATCACAGGTGTCGATGAAAGAGCTGAACGATGGCGGCTACTTCGGCTCGACGAACACCACTGCCGTCGTCACGCACGCCGGGAAGGACTACCTTGACTACATCGACGGTGCGACGATGCTCGGCCTCACCCTGCAGAAGCAGCTGCCGGAGGTCCCCCGCTTCGCGATGGTTATCAAGGAGATGAGCCAGGTGGACCGCACGCAAGTCATACATTCTGCGTGCGCTCCGTGTGTGTCGGCCCTGCCGGGGCGACGCGCGCGCAGAACTCTTGCACAGTATAGGCTCGGCGGCGGGCGCTTTCTGGCGAGACCACCCTAAACCCTAAACCCTAAACCCTAGAAGATGCTTGTGCTTTCTGTTCGGTTCGGACGTGCGCCTCCAAGCAGGGAGCATATCTGGGGCAATGTATAGTACCGCCGCGGGCCGTTTTTTTGCCATGGAGGTTGATTCGATTAGCGCTTCGGCTATGGGTCGCAAGGTGTGTCGACTCACGCGTTGGCAGCATGTCGTGTGCGCGGCGGCGACGTGTCGGCGCGCGATTCGATGCACATGAACGAACACAATATCATGGTGTATGTTTCGGGCTGGTGTGTAGCCTTCCTGGGGTGGTCCGTCGTTTTGTTACACTAGTCCCTGGGTGGCAAGCGAGTGCGTGGTAGCAACTGTCCTCGACCAGACGCGGCTGCCATCTGCGCGCATGGCCACGTGCCAAGTCTGTTCGTTTGGCGCGGGCACGCGGTGGCGGCCCCTGTCGGGGCGGTCGCGAGCGTTCGGTTTTTTTCACCCGCAGCCGAGCACCTGTTGAAGCAACCTCCTCCCGAAAAGCTGGGCCAGCGTTTCTTAACCAACTCGCCAGGACACTGGCCGCGTTTCTGGAGCATGTTCGCCCCTCCAGCGATACCAAGAGAAGTTTACCCAGGCTTGTTCCAGGGATCTGGCCCAGTTCTCTTGAGTTCTTGATCCTAATTTCGGCCGTGCTGCCGTATGCTTGCGGGCCCCGCAGCACAGTACTAGTACTCGCGTTCGGCGGACAAATTCGTATCCGCGCCCTTGCGGTCTGGATTCTGTGACGCGTTCCTCAAGGGAGGAAAAACCACCCGGACCGGACGATTTGCGTTCACTAAACGGCCCTGGGCGCTTACTAAACAGCCCTGCCCTGTCCGATTCCTTCAGCGGGGGCGTTCAGTAAACGGTTTCGCGTGTCGGGGTGGTCATTATCGGGGTGGATTTTCAGCCCTCTAGTTCCCGCAGATGCGCGGTTGCTGCATCCCACGAGGGGTTCAAGGACCAGCTGAGGAACGTGGGCTGGTTCATCATCGAGGTGGAGGACTGGGGCAAGGACCACTGCGGCGAGGACTGCGGCGGGGGCTTCCTCGGCCGCTGGGGCGACAGCTTCGAGAAGCTGAACGTGTGGCGCTTCCCCTTTGAGCGGGTGCTCTTCCTGGACGCGGACATGTACATCCTCAGGGAGGGGATCCAGGACATCCTGGACGTGCAGCTGGAGCCGCATCAGATCGCCATGAGCCCCGACGGCTGCAAGCCGGAGCACAACAGCGGCATGCTGCTGTTCCGCCCCGACGTCAAGGTCTTCTCCCGCCTGCTGGAGAACATCGCCGTGCACAGCGGCGGTCGCGAGGTCCTGGACCAGACCGTCATCAACATGGAGTACAAGGGCAACATCGTGTCCTTGAGCAAGAAGTACAACTGCGTCGACTACTCTGCGGACTGTGTGTGGGAGAGGGGTGGGAAAGAATGCGGAAGGAGGAGGGGGGAGGATGGTTTGGAAGAAGAGAACGAGGAAGAGAAGGAATAGGAGGGTAAGGGAGGAGGACAAGGAGAATGGATGAGGACAAGGATGACAGGAACGGTCGTCGCAACGAGTACACAGGCGGAGCGGGCGGAACAACAAGCGCACATCACAGCGAGGCGCGTAACGCAGCCCGTGTGGTCTTCTCACTGGTGAGCGTGTGCGAGGATGGTGTGTCCTCACTTTCGGTCTCCCCTCTTTTGATGTGCCGTAACTTGATTCGGTGCGTCCCGCCGTTGCCTTGCCTCTGTTTGGCATAAGTGATTGCCGACCAGCAATAGCGCGGATGGTCCAAACTCCGCGGGACTCCCTCGGGAGCCCGCCGCCGCCAGCAGTGCCCGCGAAGTTCTACGCGTCGACCAGGAGGTGTTCGACACCACTCCGCCTACTACTCGCTGGGTCACAGGTGGTTTCCGGGGGCGGAAAAGAGGGGGGTGATGACCAGTGGGGGTGGATATCATGGCGTGGGCCATGATATTTCCCTAGATTTCATGGCGCCTCTTCTTATTTCATTACGTCCCTGGCCCCCCCGCTGGGCCGCGCACATGCCGCTGGTCATGATTTGCACCCTCCCCTCTTTCACGCCCTCCTCTTTGCCGCTCCCGAGGTTTGTAGGTTGGGTGATGTCGCAGGTGGTCGGAGATTGCTTGAGCTTTTGGCATCGCTGGGTCGGATGTGGGGTGGTGTCGTCTGGTTCCTGGTCCAACATGGTCTGAGCACGCGATCCGCCTTGCGCCTTGGCGGCCACCGCCTTCCCTTCTTGCGCCTCCCGTGCGCCATGCGTGCTTCAGCGCCCCCGCCTGCCGCTCCGACCGCGCCCGAGCGACCTCCAGCGCCGCGAATAAACAAATAGACGTGTGCGAGCAGCTTGCGCGTCCGTGCGGGATCACCCGCTGCAGTCGTGGCAGCAGAGGTCGCGCTTCTGAAGATGTGGACCGCGCGCTTGACGCGTAGCCGTCCAAGGCGCGTGCTCCCTGTGAGGGCCGCCGGCGCACGCGCGTTCTCGCGCCGATAAGCGAGGTGTCGGCGTCGACCTCACGGGACATCGACCGCAGGGAGTGATCAGGGCTGCTCTGAAACATCCCGCCAAACATCGTCGTACTTAACTGCAGAATGCGCCGTCGTATGTAAACGCAGAAAGCACTGTCTGGTGCATGCCCTGCGCGGGTCAAAGGATGTGCTCTTGACAGTGCGACACGCGTGTACGCCCTGAAGGATTTGCGCCAATCATTTGTCGTGCAATCACTTGTCGTGTGAACCTTTCTGGGAGCCATCCAGATGCATGCGTTCGCGAAGAAAGCCTTGGTCGGACCATGGTGTAGGTTTGCTTTCGCCTCGGGTCTGGATGTTTGAAGTTTCCTGGCCCACGCAGTATATATACATATATACATATATATATATAGGTACTTCCAGATCTTTTTTCAGGCCTGTGGGTGACCAGTTTGCCTTCCATTTTGTCTGCTCAGGTCGAGACCCAGGTCGGCGTTTGGCGCAAGACGTGCTCCGAAGTGCTGCATGCAGGCCGCCTGCGGCAAAACATCGCCTGTTGTCGTGCGACCGCCGCTTGAATCATTCCTTCAAGTGCAGGTGCATTCCGTCTCGCCTGCGTGCCGCCACGGCACTTGCCAAACATTCCTTGAGGAAGCCGTCACTGCACCTGACGTGCATTGAGTTTCCTCGCGTATTTTTTTTGCTCCAGTCCGCCAGTGGGTTGCAGCTAGGGTTGATAGCCAACCAGGAATTCTGCATATGAAACATACAGGATTCCCAGCATATTTCCCGCGCGGCCGCAAACGCAGAGGTTCAGCTCGTCGTAGGCCTGCTCAGCGGGCCCTCTCAGCGCCGCCACCGCGCCTGTCAGGAGATAGCTGCCCCACCCAGGACAAGCGAACACGGGCTCAGGGGGTGCACTCTTGCGAGTATCCCGGGCGCTGCGGGCGGAGTGGTGGCCGCATGCCGCAGCCGATGACGACGTGTTGCCTCAGCCTTGACAGCTCTTCTCTTCAGGGAGACAGGAGGAGGCCGAGGGATGAATCAGTAACAGCAGTATATAATTGCAGTCCGCTTGTCGCAAGTGTGGTGCAACTGTTTTGGAGCAGGTGATGCTTCTAGCGCCCTCGATCACGTCGATCCGAGGGCTCGCTGGTAGTTCCAGCAGGGCCTGCAACGCCCGACAGACAGCATTAGTGAGCACGGATGGGACGTTGATATTGCCGATAATTGGGGGAGGCAAAGGAGGAGGAGGAGGAGGAGGAGGAGGAGGAGGAGGAGGAGGAGGAGGAGGATGGAGGATGGAGGATGGAGGTGGGAGGATGATGATGAGAAGGAGGAGGGGGACGAGGAGGAGGAGGAGGATGGAGGGTGGAGGAGGGAGGAGGAGGATGATGAGAAGGAGGAGGAGGAGGAGGAGGATACGGACCATGAGGAGGACGCAGTGGGTGTCAGGCACATCTCTCTTGATTGTGGTAGAAGCTGAACTGGGGAGGCGTAGTGGTTACGCGGTTACTGATGATGGTAGCCATATTTTTGATGATGGTGATGACCACTGAAGGAGAGAAGGCGGAGAAGAAGGAAGGGGCGGAGGAGGAAGGGATCGGGGAGCAGAGGTGGAGGGGGCGGGCACCGTAGAACCTTTCATTCTGATTGGTAAGCGACAACAGGTTACACTTCCCGAAACAGCGCTTGTGTTTCGGGGGTCGTACTTGCCTACTGATGCATTCGCCATGTTTGGGGGACGCCATTTGCTGTTGTCGCCGCGTTATCGCTGACACCCAGTCGTGTCGCCGGGGTCTCGGACGATAGGGTCCCTCACGACAGGGACCTTCACAACAAGGTCCCACACGATAAGGTCTTGTACGACAAGGTCCCACCCGCTTGGGTCTCAAAGGCTAGGGTCCCACAGTAGGGTTTCAGGACCGCACGCGGCCAGCACTTCACGCGATAGGGCCCCGCAAAATATGGTCCTACACCAAAGAGTCCGCACGAGGAGGTCCCGCACGGCAGGGCCCCACGCGATACATTCCGCAGATGGCACCGCATACGTCGCACCTCACACATTTCACCAGAGCGCAAGGGAGATGAGGACGAGGAGGAGGAGGAAGAGGAGGAGGAGGAGGAGGAGGAGGACGATGCTGTGGGTGTCAGACACATTTCTCTTGTTTGTGGTAAGCTGAACTGAGGAGACGTAGTGATGACGCTGTTGCTGATGATGGTGGCGATGTGTTTTGATTTGATGGTGATGGCGACTGACGGAGAGAAGGAGGAGGAGAAAAAGGAAGGGGGGGATGAGGACGGGGACGGGGAGCAGAGGCGGAGTAGGCGGGCACCTTAGAACCTCTAGCAGACCCTTCAGTTTGATTGGTAAGCGACAACTCGTTACACTTCCCGAAGCAATGCTTGTGTTTCGGGGGTCCTACTTGCTTTCTGCTGCATTAGCTATGGCGGGCTGGATTTTGGGTTCGTCATTTCCTGTCGTCGCCTCGTTCTTGCTGGCAAGGAGGAGCAGAAGGAAGCTGAAGATGAGGAGGGGGACGAGGAGGAGAAAGAGGGGTAGGAGGATGAGGACGAGGAGGATGACGGTGACGATAAAGGACTGGCGCTGCCCCCTGTCCTGCGGGAACGACACTGTGATCGCCCACTTCACGGGCACGCCCAAACCCACCAGGCATCCCCTCTTTTCTCCTCCCCTCTCCTCCTCGTCCTCGTTCCTGCCCTCCTGGTCCAGTTTGTCGTCTTACCCCTCACGCTGCTTGTCATATCTGTCATCCCTTTTTGTCCTCCTGCTCACCTTTGTACACCTTCGGGCATGATCTTTCTCCCTCCTCCTCCTTCCATCCTCTCCTTCTTCTTCTTCCTCCTCCTCCTCCTCCTCCTCCGCCTCCCCCTCCTCCTCCTCCTCCCCCTCCTCCTCCCCCCTCCTCCTCCTCCTCCGCCTCCCCTCCTCCTTCTCCTCCCCCCTCCTCCTTCTCCTCCTCCTCCCCTCCTCCTCCTCCTCCTCCTCCTCCTCCTCCTCCTCTCCTCCTCCTCCTCCTCCTCCTCCTCCTCCTCCTCCTCCTCCTCCTCCTCCTCCTCCTCCTCCCCCCCCTCCTCTTCCTTGGTGGTTCGCAGCGCGGCCCCGCAGCATGTGGCCCTTCGGCGGGCGGCCGCGGGCGCCCGCGGAGCCACTGCCCCCAGCGCCTGCGGCGCGACCGGCGGCGATCGGTCCCCCCATTGCACCGCCGCCTGAGGAGGCGGCGATCCAAGGCACGAGTCAGGGACCCAGACCCCCTCGAGTTATGAAAAAATCACGACGGGAGGTTTTTCGCTATTTTCGGCCTCCGGGGGCCCTTACCGGCCCTCAGGACCGTCAAAAAACGACTCAGGATGAAAAACCGGTCCCGGGGAATCGGTCCGGACCTCTGGGGGTCGCGTCATGAAACAATCATGACGTCGGGGGTCTGGGGACTTCGCCCCCGGTGCCTGTCCAAGGCGTACCTTTTCCTGTGCAAGCTCTTTCGGCACCGCCTGTACTCCGCACCCCCCGGCCGCCTGAGGCACGAGTCAGGTTGCGCCACCAGTGACGAACGAACAACACACACCCATACCCGTAGGGGGGTCGTTGGGAGGAGGATTGGCTATGGGTTTGGGTGCGGGGTGTCGGACCCTGGGGAACGCTCCCGTTCGAGCGGGGACGTCCATCCGACAACATGCACCCATAGCCCTCTCCGACACCCGTACGGGTATGTGTGTATGTGCGTTGTTGGTTTGTCAACCAGCGTGACCTGAGCATCCGCGTCGACCATCACGGCAACAGTTTGCCTCAGAGCCATATGAGCGGCGCTAGAAGAGCGCGGCTACGCAGGTTCAGCTGGCGCGAGGCGATGGGTGGGCGGGTCTTCGGCGAGCCCGCACGCGAAAATTGCTGGAGATGCAGGTGGGGTGAGTCGGTCTGCTTCCACAGTTACAAGAAGCCGGCATCGCCCAGCGCCAGCATCCGTGACAAGCTAGGGAGTGTTGCGGCCAGGCCATGGGATATGTTTCAAGGGAGGAAAAAACACCCCGACTGGACAATTGGCGTTTACTAAACGGCCCTGGGCGTTAACTACCCAGCCTTGCCTTGTTCGATTTCTTCTTGGGGCGCGTTTGCTAAAAGCCTCGCGTGTCGGGGTGGTTCTCGTCGGGGTGGATTTTCCGCCCTCTAACTTTGGCTACCAAACCATGGGAGATGCCAGTTGAGCTCGGGCAGGTTCGGGTTCGGATCAGGAAGCCGGAGGCTACCATCGCCCAGGAAAAAGCGAATATGATACGGTTTTGGATGGTGATGACATGGAAGTTGACGACGAGCAGGGTACTCTCTTTTGATGAAGGAAAGACCCGGGCACGCATCCATGAATGTTGCAAGCAGTTTGAGTTGGGCAACAAAGGTACAGGAAAACATTGGACTGCACTGCGCACGGCCGTCCGTGCAGAGAGGGAGCAGCTGCAGTCTCGGATCGGTGCCCACACACCAGTCGCAGCGCAGATGTGTGCTGTCACCCTCAGATGGCGGCGGAGCCCCAAACAACCGACAAGGCTAAGGCGGACGTCGACAAGCAGCAGCGTCGCATTGATGAGCTCGTCGCAAATTTTGAGTTGCCCAAGGAGGATCTGGTACGGAAGGAGGTGTCGTTCGAGGGGTTGCGCGACAAACAGCTCAAGTTTGCTAAGAGTACAGTGCTTCCGCCTGAACGTAAAGATGAGGACCAGATCGTGGCGCTCGGCTTGGACTGTGCGGCCCTTGGTAAACGTTCAAGCAGCAGGGTGCAGTGGCAGCAGCTGAGCAGATGGCGGATGAGGTTGCTAAGCGGCCCCCTCTGATCATCAACGATGCGAAAGTTACGTTGCCCGGCTTCGATGCGCAGCCTGCGACCCCAACGCCACTCGCAGCCGCTTCGGCCAGTTATCCTGCAGGAGGAGGCCAAACACAAACAGCATCAGGAACGCCCTTACCAGCTATATCTGCTATTGGCGCTGATCTTAAAGTGTCCTGCGGAAGCACCTGGCGCAGGTGGGTGTGGAGTTGCCCGAGGAAGCCGAGGAGGATGCAATTTGCCAGGCAGCCTATAAGTCATTCCAGTGGACAGCCCAGACCAAACGAACTGTTTTCCAGCCGTTCGAATGTTGCTCGGGTTGTGTACATTGTGATCAATTTGTCTGCGAGCATTCAGGGGCTGTTCGGCAATGTGATCCAGCTTATCCAACATAGTGATCAGGCTGGCCAGGGCCAGGCGATCATGGCTTGGTCCAGGGGTGACGAGGGTGCGACTTCGCCGCTAGCTACGTCGAGTCGGCGGTCCTGCCTGGCTCCGAAGAAGACTGAGACACCTGCGAGGGCGAAGCCCGCCGCGGCCCCTTCGCTTGCGCAGCAAGACGAGAGGGAGGTATTGGAACCCTTGCGGGTGAATCAGGTGGAGGAGCTTGGCGAGTGCATTCGGGACTCCAAGGGCAATTTTTCCGCTGCATCGATGGCGGCGGCGTCGGGCACATGCGTTTGCTTGTCGAGTCTGCGGCCCGACCCTGTTGGTCCCGAGAAGGACGAAATCGCAAGCGGGACGAGGTCCGCCGCGACCCAATCGTGTGTGTGTGCGTGTGTGTGTGTGTGTGTGTGTGTTTGTTTGTTTGTGTGTGTGTGTGTGTGTGTGTTCGTGTGTGTTTGTGTGTGTGTGTTTGTGTGTGTGTGCGTGTGTGTGTGTGTGTGTGTGTGTGTGTGTGTGTGTGTGTGTGTGTGTGTGCGTGCGTGTGTGCGTGTGTGCGTATGTGTGTGTGTGTGTGTGTGCGTGGGGGGGTGGGGGGGGGTGTAGTTGCCCCTGGGAGTCACCCCCCAGATCTGCGCGTCCCCGCCCCCCCCCCTCCCCCCTGCTGCCCTGCTGGCGCCCGATGCACCGGAGAAAACCGCGCGATCAGGGTCGCGAGGTAGAGCGCGCGGTCTCGCCGCCGAAAAGGCCGACCGCGCCCGCGCGAAGGAGAAGCGCTGCGAGGCACAGGTGGGGCCCGAGAGGCAGATCACGACCAGCAGCGCAGACAACGCTGGCCCGCTGCTGAGGCATCTCGAAGGTTGCAGGTCCTCAGTGGTCCTTGTCCAGGAACGCAAAAGCTGACGACGCCGCGCGGCCTTCGATTGAGTGCAACATAGAGCAGCTGAGATGCCGTGACATTGTGTGTCCAGCGCTTCGACGGCAAAGGATGGATCATTATCTGAATGTGTTGTGCTTGCAGTTGCATGTATCGCGGCCGCGATGCCATCCTGCGCTGGAGCCTGCGGTGCTGTATGGTGGGCAAATGGTTGCAGGGAGTGTAGCATGTGGGGCGTCTTCTAGGATCGTTGCCACACCTGCGTGTTCCAAAGATTCGGTTATATTCGTTCAGGACACTCAGAATATGCTGTGTCCTTTAGTTCCATATTTCGCGGTTGAATGATATTGGGAAGTGCAGGGTTGCCGGAGGGCATTGGGTCGTGGATTTTGCGGCCTTCGGGGGACAAGCATGTTTGGGGTAACCGCGCAGTACTTTCAATGTGCCAATGCAGGTAGCGCGCCGAGCAAGTATTCTGTCAGGTTGAAAGGACGGTCCAAATTTTCAGTGTGCCAATGTCAGGCCGAAGAGTGTTCTGGGGCACCATCGAGATGTCTGCAATGCCTACGAAGCTGCTTGGCTTCGCAATTCTCGCACGCGCGCAATGGAACCAAGGCGACAAACGAGAATCTTCGGTTTGCAGGCGCACTCCGTACGTTGCGGGCTGGAGGGCTCTGTGCGATGAACAAACAGCACGCAGCTGTATTCAATGTGTCTCCTAAGTGTTCCTTGCGATGAGACAAGTGACGAAGAAAGACCCCCAGTGGGGTCCCAAGTCGACACGCGTGTACGAACGCCTGCGTGAAAGAGGGCACCGGGGGCGCGCGGGCCCTGATTGGGGTCGCATTGACACTCCTGTATGCTTGACTATATTTCCGACGTTTCCCCCCCAAGGTCTCCGCGGGGCTCGAGGTCGCGCTCCGGGGCGACTGAGGGTCGGACCGGTCAGCGTGGTCTTTGTTGGTGTGTACTGATGGTTCTTGGCTGGCCCCATCGTTGCCAGCATTGCGACGGTGTGGTTGGGGCCTCTGCCAACTAAGTGACAACGCGCTTCCACTTCGAGGTGCGTATGGACCCCTTGAAGGACCAATGCAACCCGTGGGGCGTGCTGAGAGAGCAGCTTTACTGGCGGCTTTGCGCTTGCTCCCGCGAGAATCGCGTGTCGCGTCAGACCTGGCTTCTTTTCGAGACGCCCAGCAACCGGTGGAAGTATTGGATCGGGGGCGCATCAGCGGACAGGTTTGCCAAATTGGGGGCGGTGTATGTCGCGCGAGTTATCGCGATGCTTTGAGTGACCGCCCTGAGCGTTTCTGTAAAAATCCTGTCCCAGCCAGACCCATTGCTGTCACCTTTGCTTGTATGGGGTCCAGCGTTGTCCAATGTAAGAAGTGTTTGGCTCTTGCCCGGACCCCTGCCAGCCTCGCCGAGACTCTCCAAGGACCGCGCGCGCCCACGGCCCAGCACAGGCTTAGGGCTGGGACGGATGCTAAGTTGTAGGGCCTCTAACCTATGCGGTCAGCGGCGGTAAGGGCTGCTCTCGAGGCCGCTGACGTTCTCGACCCTGTGGCTGGTGCTAGGTCGAGTTCTGTTGCCGTCGGGGAGTCTGCTGCGCCTGCTGAAGCTATTGTCGAGTTCCACGGGCACCTGGTTTTGGTGACCCCCGCCGCCATGGTTTGCACCACATCCGTTTCCTACCAGTGGCCCAACGTAGGATGGCTAATTGTGAACTCGATGCAGAGTGTGCAGGACACTCAGAGCGCGGAACCACTCCTTACATACATATGTATGTATGTATGTATGTATGCATGCATGCATGCATGCATGCATGCATGTATGTATGTATGTATGTATGTATGTATATATGAATGAATGAATGAATGAATAAATGAATGAATGAATGAGTGAATGAATGAATGAATGAATGAATGAATGTATATATGCATATATATATACGTACGTACGTACGTATGTATGTATGGATACATGCATGCATGCATGCGTGCATGTATGTATGTATGTATGTATGCATGTATGTTGTTATATTTGTATATGTCTAGATCTGGTACAACATTTCCACCATCCGGGCGGGGCGGCATCCGAAGCCAGGATCGCCCCTTCCGCTTCTTATAGTTATTTTTGTATTATGTATGTGTATATGTTTCTATGTATGTATGTATGCTTGTATGAAGGGATGGATGAATGCATGTATGGATGTATGGATGGGTGTATGGGTGTATGTATTTATGGATTTACGCATGTATGGGTGTCAGGATGTATAGATGTATGGTTGTATGACTGTTTGGATGTGTATGTATGCATGTATGTATGTTTGCATATATGTATGCTTGTGTGTATGCAATCACCTATATACAATTTCCGCCCCCCCGGGGTTCCGTCAAGTCCGCCACCATCCGAGGCCAATCCCCAGTACCCTCCTCTTTGGCGTCCAAGAGAGCCCCTGGAGGGCTGCATGATGGCTCAGGACGCCCCCGAGCCCTCCTCTGTTTTCCTCTTCCTCGTTCTCCTCCTCGCCCTGCTCCTCCTCCATCCCGTTTCTCCTCCTCCTCCTCTTCCTTCTCTTTTTCTTTCCCTTGTCGTTCGCCCTGTGTCATCGGGCCTCCAGGTGAAATTTCTTCTCCTTGCTGCTTTCGTCCCCGCCGCCGCCGTCGTCGTCGTCGTCCTCCTCCTCCTCCTCCTCCTCCTCCTCCTCGTTGTTCTCCTTCCCTCCTTCTTGCCTCCCCTTCTCGCGCCCCCTCCTTTTTCTGGCCTCCGCATCCTCCAAGCTGTGTTTTCTCCTCCTCGCCGCTCCTCCTCCATCCCTTTTTTTATCATTGTCCCCGTCCTGCTCCTCGCATCCCCCCCCCCGCTCCGCCCTGCTTTTGTCCTCGTCCTGTCCTTTCTTATCGTTCCTCTTCCTCCTGAAGACGACGGGATGGAGGTGTACGGAGGAACAGGGCGATGCGGAAAAGGAGGAGGAGGAGGATTTAATAATAAGGATAAGGCCCTTGGGGGTCTGTCAACTTCGCCTACCGACAGGCATGCCGACCCCTGGGAAAAACATGGATGCGAGCCCCGATTCACTACCTGTAGGCTGTGGGGGCCGCCTGAGGCGACGGGGCCCGCCTCCGTTGAGGCGTGGTCCCCGAGCCTCGCCAGCAGGGGAACCCTGCCTCGGTTGAGCACTGGAGCTGGTGCGTGCAGGCGGAGGGGAGCTGCCTCACTCTGTGGGCGCACCCCCCGCCGCTGAGAGCCCACCCTCCCTCGCTCCCCTCTCCCCCCCCTCCTCCCTCAAGGCGGCAGGAAAGAGCAAAAAAAAGAGGAGAGGCGGCCTTGTACTTGGTGACGGCGTCCCGTCCCCACTCCCCTTGTACGCTCGCACATGTCTCTCCAAGCAGAGGGAGGCTATGAAGGTGGCGTGGCCGCACTGGCTCACACATGGAAAGCTGTGCCAATCACTACTGCCTGGACCGAGCGTGTGGTGCTCTTGCGGGGAAAAAAAGACAAGGCCTGAAACGATGGAACCAGTTCTCAGCTCACTGCATCGTCCCGAGCCCGATGCCCCAGCCTGCCGCCGACGGCGCCCTTGGCGACAGGAGACGCACGTCTCTACTCTGAGCTGCGCCTGGGCTGCTGTCGGCCTTAGTCGCGACGACTGGGGCCTCGGCCACGACCACCCCGCGGCTCTCCCAGCCCTGCACGCTCTTGCTCGGGCTCGGGCAGGGCGGCCTGAGCGTGGGCTGGAGGAGGTCCTGGTGCTTCGTCACCGCCGCCGTCGCTGCCGTCTCACTCTGGGTGGAGAAGAAGGCCTCGTCGTAGGCGTAGCCCTGCGGCCCTTTGGTCCAGCGGGTGTAGATGTGGTCGATCTCGTCGACCTGGCGCCTCGTGTAGTCGAGCTCCCACGGCATCGGTCCGTGCACCATCTTGCCAAGCTTGTCGTCCGTGGTGCCGATCGCGCTCCTCACCGCGCTGATGGCGTGGTGAATGTCGCGCAGCTGCTCTTTGAGGTAGAGCTCTGCCTGGCTGCGTTCAGCTTCTTCGTGCGGGTTCAGGCTCCTGACGTTCATGCGCCCGAGCGTGGTCACCACCCGCTCCCTCTGCTTGTGAATGACGTGGAGTGTCATCTCGCCGTATTTGGTCGCCTCCTTGAACGCCTCGGACGTGCTCTGGAGTGTGTTGTGCGCGACCTCGAGCCTGTACGCGTTCGTGCCCGAGACCTGGTCAGCCACTCCGTAGCCCCCCCCCCCTCTCGTGGATCTTCTGCACTACCGTGGGCTGCGGGTTGAGCTCCGTCCCTGCTGCGGCTGACGCGGCTGGCTGCTGCTCGGTCGCCCCCGCTTGCTCCGCCGCCGTCTCCTGCGCCGCCATTGCCCAGGTCGTGGTTCCACGAGAAAAGCGGGCGGCGTCCATGTTCTGGCTTGCAGGTGTCCTGGGTCTGCCTTTACAATGCCCTGGAAGTCGCGAGAAAGCTCGAGTCGTAAATGTCCACTGGTAGTATGTCGGACTGGGTACTGGGTCCCGGTTTACCTTAGTTGACCCCGCCTAGCTGTTGTTCACCTTAGGTGGTATAGTAGTTTCCTTAGTTCCCAAAAGGTTGGGGCGGTGAGAGACCGTAGTGGGAGCCTTGGAGTAGGAGTAGGCGTAGGCTCGGTCGTTCGCTGGAGTCGGGATCCTGGGCCTGCCCTTGGTATGCGACTCTTCCTCGCGCCCTCCGTCGCGCTGAGGGTCGAGGGAGGTAGCAACGATGGTAGCTAAGGCTGGAGGTAGCTGGGCGGGGGGAAGGAGGTCGTACCGAGGTCGGACCACACGCGCATGGCTGTGCTGAATGTTGTGGTGTGATAATCCCAGTGCGGTCGTGTCCCTAGTACGCCATATGTAAACTGTAGCCGTGTACTGTCGTGCTGCTGTACGAAGTCCAATACGGAAATCCCTGAACGTGGGCCCCGATTCCTTTATACTGTTCGGGACCTTATGTGTGCTGTCTGGGCTCCTGGAGACTGGTGAGGCTGCGTGTCCCTATAAGAGGCCAACGTGAGCTGTCTCTCTGTTTTGTCCACTCCCGAGGCTGACGGCGCACCTACAGCTCTAAGATGGCGGTGAAGGCTGCGGAGGACTGGCGACCAGCCAGAGTCACAAATACGTCGGCGCCAATGTGGGCATCCGCAGTCGTATCTGACAGAGGGGCCTCGCGCGGGGGAAGTTCGACTGCGTGCGGTACTAGTCGTGAGCTGAGAGCCTGGGGAGAGGTAGGTTGGAGTTGGTGAGGGAGGGGGGCGTAGGTGGTGGGAGCCCGTGTAGTAGTAGGGTGGCGGCTGGTTTAGTAAGTCAGCCGTCCACCCTTATTTTTTCGCCATAGGCTGGTAGTAGTCCCTTGGCCGTAGGTCCCGATAGTATGTAGCCATCCGATAGAGGTAGGCCATCTGGCCTCCGTGTTGCTCGGCCTGGCCCCTGAGACTCGTCATACGAACAAGGTCTGTGCTGATCTGCTGTGCGATTTTTTCCTCTCGAGTGACTGGCTGAGCAGAAGGTGGCCAGGCACGAGGGCGCCCCATGGAGTTGAGGCGTGACTCGGGTGCGCTAATCGGCGCCGAGCTGGCGGCGCCTCTAGGCTGCGAGCCCAGTGGGGGCTGGCCCGCGGGGCTCTCTCGCTCGCGGCGGGGCGAGCTGCTGGGCTTTGGCTGGGGCGTGCCTTGGCTCACCTCCTGTTGAGCTGCGCCTCCACGGCCCTCTCCAGGCCCGTCTTCGGGCCCCCCGAGCGGCTCTTCATGGCCCCGAGGTGCGCGAGCGCGTGGCCCAGCGCCTGCTTGAACATGTCCCCCTTGAATCCCGAGATCTTGTCGTACTGCTCCTGCTCGAGCTTCTGGTCGTACAGCACCGCCCTGAAGCTCGGCGCCGTGTTGATCGTGTAGATGAGCTTGGCCTTGCACTGCTTGATGTCCATCTCCACGTCGTCGCCCGTCTTGTTGTACGCCTCCTGAATCTTGCACTGCAGGAAGACCTCCGTGATGAAGATCGGTCCCCAGGGTTCGTCGAGCTGGCTCATGAATTCTTTCAGGAGCTGCCTCACGTGGAGGAGGGACGCGTCGAGTTTCTGCTCCTCCGCGTCGAGCACCGCCACAATCTCCTCTACCAGGCTCGCCGCGACCTGGCCGTGCGGTGGGCCGAGGCCGTGCCCCTTGCCCAGCTGTTTCAGTCGTATTGGCTAGTCGAGAGGCGAATTCCTGCAACCCGTCCCTGGAGGCTGGTCGGTGGGGTGTAGATCTCTCGTATGCTGCGCTCGTCGATTCTCTGACTGATGAGGATCGTTAGTCCACAGCTTTTGTTGATCCACTTCCCTTTGCGGGCACCGAATTGTAACACGTAGTGGTTAGGGAGATAGTGTCTCTGCACTGCTTCTGCTCCCGCCCATCTACATGTGCCGCTGAGGAGGATAACGTCCCAACTGTGTAGTTCGGCACTGATGTCCTCTAGTCGTTCGATGCTCGCTGCCTCCTGGGGGTTGTAGTAGCAGATTCTCATGCCTAGGCGCACGGACTCGCCATGCGGGCCCCCCAGTCCCCCCTGCCCCCGAAGCCTGAGGGTGTGGGCGCAAAATCGCTGGTGTACAGTTGTACGTGAGGTGCGGTCGGTCAGCTTTTGGGCACCTCAAACAGCGACTAGGAGGAGGAGGAGGAGGAGGAGGAGGAAAAGGAGGATGAGGATGGGGGAAAGAGGAACAGGAGTACCTTCTCCTCCTCGCCCCCCCCTCGCGAATCCGAGGCTCGCTGTGTTTTTTGAGGGGGGCGCCACGCAGGCAGAGCGCCATCAACCTGGACTGGGTGCGCACCGCGAGCCCAGTCAACGGCAGCGACCGCTGCGTGCACACCAACCGCGGCAACTGCGCCACGTGGCCACTGTTCTTCTGTGACATGAAGAGGAGCCTCCTCCCGGTGCCTCCTCGTGCCTCCTCCTACCACTTGTGGCCTTGGCTCGAAATCGGCCGACGTCGAAGGATCCAGAGAGCACGTGAGGGGCCCTGAGGTCTGGGCGTTGCGTTTTTTCACCCAGCGCTTTCGCGCCTCGCTTCGGGCCCCAGGAGCATCACAGGTCGATGCGGCTGGATAAAGGGCTCTGAGGATGGGGTCTGGGGCTCCGGTCGTGATGTTTTTCGCGATGTTGCAGGTTTTTCGCAACGTCGGATCTCGGGGTCCTCCTGCCTTCTCCACCTCGTCCTCTTTGTCCGCGCTGCTCCGTTCGCCCCGTGTCCTGCCAATTGTGTCCCTATGAATCAACATGCGCGACTGCCAACCTGGCGGCAGGGATGACATGGGCTGGTGTATACATGCATCTATATATGTATATGTATATATTTATCTGTCTACGTTGGACATTTATTCTTGATTATACATGTATATGTGTAGACACACTCGCGTACATATATATATATAGGTATACATGCATACGCACATGCACGCATACATACACGTACACATACATGCGCCCAGACATATGTACACACATACACTCGTAGATTACATACATGCAGACAGACGGGCATACAGACTGACATACACATACAGACACATGCGTTCATACGCACACACATATTCACTTACGTACATATACATATACAAACGTGCATCCATATACACATGCATACGGACATACGTACATGTGTACATACATACGTACACGCATGTACACATACATACACACATGCTTGCATGCATGCATGCATGCATGCTTGCATACAACCAAAGTCATACAGACGCTCATACACATATACAAACATACATGCGTACATGCATCCATCCATAAATGCATATATGCACACATATAAATGTATACGTGTATGCATAAATGCGTGCATGCAAATATATACACACACGCGTACATACATACATACATCCTTACCTACATACGTACATGCATACGCTCACGTGCACACACGCCTGCCTACCTACCTGCCATCTCAATACATGCGTACACACAAACCTACATACGTAAATGCACACATACATACACACTCATACAGACATGCATACATACAACCATACATACATACACACATTCGTACGTACATGCATACAAATACACATACATAATACATACACACATTCAAGCACACACATGCGTGCATGTATACATACATACACATGTACTCACTACACCCATGCATACATACATCATCACATGCAGACATACACATATAAATATATACATGTGTGCATACATACATTCATGCATACATACACGCGTACACACATACTTGTATACATGCGTACACCCATACATGCATCTAGACATCTAGGCATACATTCACACTTTCATACACGCATATAACATACATGCACACATACAGTCATGCATACACACATATATTCACACATGCATACATAATGTACATGCGTATGCATATACATGTATCTGTACACGTACATACACATATACATACGTACCGATCTTACATACCTACATGTATGCATACACACATACATACACACATCCAATCATACATACATACATTCTTGTAGACACACACATTCACAAGCGAAACAATGTATACGTACATACATACATCTAGACATACAAGCATACATACATACATACATACAAACACCCATCCATCCATCCACCCATCCATCCATACATACATACATACATACACTCCATACATACACTGCAAGACTTGCAGATAATGGTTGGCCTAGGCAAGAGTCTGAGTTTGAGGCCGTATCATGTCGCACGGCAGTTGTTGTGGCTCAGAGTTTCGGGCCTCGAGGAGGGCATGAATGTCCCATCGTATCCGCCGGCGCCCGTGCGACGCTGCGGGTGGTGCGGCGGCCGCCTGGCGCAGGGGGAGTCTCTGGCGCTGCCAGACTCTCGCGCCCTGCTGGAGTCGTGCGAACTGTGCCACTTGTTGGCCCTCGCGCGCCAGAACGCCCTCGGTACTCGGCTGACCCCGGCGGAGCGGGCGGTGCTGCTGGACCAGGCGCGCCACCTCGCCGCCCTCGTCGATGCGCTGGCTGGTCTCGGCGATGGCGCCCAAGGGCGTGGCAAAGGCCAAGGGCAAGGGCAAAGGCAAGGGCAAGGGCAGGGGCAAGGACAAGGCCAAGCCCAAGGCAGCGGCGGTTGGCGGAGGGCTCGGCCGCGGCGCGCTGGCCCTGGCTGCGGGTGCCCGCGGGCGCGGCGGCCGTGGGCGTGGCGGACGCGCCCGAGGCGGAGCCCGCGGTGGCGCTCTGCCTGGAGGTCGTGCCGCCGGCGGAGGTGCTGGAGGCGGCGCGGCTGGGCTGGCGGCGGTGTCGGCTTCCCGCCCGCTGCGCTCCCTGCCGCCGCGGCGCCACCTCCCGGCGCCGTGGCGGCGCCTGGCGGCGCGGCTCCTGGGGCAGCTGGCGGGCTGCGGGCTGGCGCGCCTCCCCCAGGCGGGCTGGGCGCCGCGCTCGTGGGGGCGATCGCGGCTGGCGGCGGGCGAGACGCTGGCGTGGCTGGCGGCCCGCCCCCAGCGGTGGCGGCCGCCGTGGGGCCCGCCGTCTTGCCACCCTCGGCCTTGCAGTCCGCCCGCGACAAATCTGCAATAGTCCCGCGAGAGCTCGACCCTTTTTTGCGTGTGCACCTTTTGATGCGGGTCTCCCCGTTCGCTGTTCTGGCCGCGCCGGTCTGTTCGACGGTTGCGAATCAAGCCGGATCTTCGGATCGGGTCTGGTCCTTGTTTTGGTCCCCAAGGGCCGCGCAAGTGAGAGGCCCAGTTTTGGAAAACGTTCGGTGAGCTCTAGCAGCTGCTATGGCCGAAAAGAGGGAGTTTAAAAAGGAGTCTGACCCAGAAGGATCATTATCCAAGTTCGTCCGATTCCGTCGCGTGTTCTAACACACGTACGTACGTCCGTACAAACACACATGCAAACACACACGCACCTACAGACATGCACTCATATGTACATCCGTCCACACATATATAGACACGTATCCGTGCATCCATACGCACGCATAGACATATTCATACACGCATGCAGCCAGACATGATTCCACACATCCACATACATACACGTACCTACATCCAAACACGTATATCTACATACATACACATGCATACACATCAATGCACATGCGTACATAAACATTCATATTCATGCACTTACTCAGCTGCACAACCGTGCTTTTGTTATCTATATATATATATAAATATATGTGCACGCATACCTATATGCACATGCGTGCGCAGACATACACATACGCACGAATACACATACATACATGCATACGGACACCCATACATACACACAAACGTACATACAACCATACGCACATGCATGCATGCATTCACGCACGCATACACTACATACATATACGCATACATACATACATACATACATACATACACACATACATACATACATACATACATACATACATACATACATACATACATATATAGATACATACATGCAAACATACATACACACATACATACATACATACATACATACATACGTACTTACTTACTTACTTACGTACTTACATACTTACATACTTGCATACTTACATACATTCATACAGTCATATATATATAGGTATGCATACATGATGTATATATGTGGTACATACATATCAACATTTGTGAACGCCTTGGTGGTGGAGGTGAGTGCGTAACAACATTTCTCCTCCCCCTCATCCTCCTCCGCGGCATTCTCATCCTTCTCCCCTTCCTCCTCCTTCTCCTTCCCCTCCTTCTCCTTCTCCTTCCCCTCCCTCCCTCCCTCCCTACCTCCCTCCCTCCTTCCTCCCTCCCTCCCTCCCTTTCCTAACTCTCCGCCTCCCCTTCCCCGTCCGCCTCCCCGTCCCCGTCCCCTCCCCTCGCTTCCCTCCCTCCTTCCCTCCCCTCCCCTCCCCCCAAAAAAATCTTGTTGGGGGAACCCAAGTGGGTCCCCCACCCCCGTGATCAATGGGGACCCCCGGGAGTTGGGGTTATGGCCCTGGGTCCCTAGCCACGAAAAACGCCACCTACTGGACACAGCCTCTTGGAGAGCTGGTCCCGTGGCTTTCCGCCTCGAAGCGTAGTTCTATTCATTAACCAAGCTGTGCAAGGAGAAATGCAAGCAGGGGTGGCCCGGCAGGGGCGGCAGGGGAAGGCGAGGGAGAGGACGAGGAGGCGGCAGGCGGGGGGGCGGTCGTGCTGGTCGTCCTGGTGGCCGTGGCCGTGGACGTCGGCGTGCTGGTGATAGTCGCAGTCGTCGGAGTGATGGTGGTTGCCGCCGGCGCTGTGGTAGTTACGGTGGTTGTCGTGGTGCTCTCGTCGTCAAGTTGCTGGGCGCTGGGCGCTAGGTAGTGTCGATGGTTGTAGTGGTCGGCGTCAGTGGTCGGCGGGGCTGAAAGCGGTGATCGTAGTGGTCGTGCTGGTGGTCGTGGTGGGAATCGCGGCAGTTTGGAAATGTGGTGGTCGTGCTGGTGGTGGTTCTATTGCTGCTGGCGGTTGTCGTGCTGGGGCTGGTGGTGGTGGGAGCCGCGGAAGCAACCAGCTGCCCCTTACCGCTACAGGGCTCTCAGGATCGTCCCCGCGTTCCCGTGTTGGAAGGGTGCGTGAAATGTCCCGCCAGATCCGGCTCAGGAGCTCAGAGCGGTCGACGTGATCACGAGAAGCACCGTAGCTCCGAACGAAGCTTACTGCCTCCTCGGATGGCCGCCCCCCAGTCTCGAAGACCATCGGGACTGGGTCTAGGTCCTCCCAGGTGGGGTAGCGGTCGCGTTTGTCCTCGACCATCTGGGCTGCTGCGAGCCCATCTCGTTCCGCTCGGGCGTGCCTGCGTGGGGCGTAGGTGGAGGAGCAAGTTTTTACATCCTCTCGGCCATGATGCGCGTTATGTCCCCCCTGCCCCTCGCCATAATGTAAAGCTCCCCCCCCAACTGTAGTGTGCCTCTGGCACTGTCATGGTGATGCTCGCAGGCTGCGGTGGTGCTTGCAGGCTACTTGAACGTTCACGGCCCATCGCGGCGTTGACAGGTTCATTGTCCGTGCTCGCAGACACGGTGCTGCGCTCGCAGGCTATTGTCGCACATGCAGGATCCGGCAGTTTTTGCGCGCGCGGGGTTCACTCGGTACTCTGGTGCTGGCAGGGCCGCGAGAGTTGTGGTGGTGGCATTGCTAGCAGAAGTAGTGGTAACAGTCGCAGCAATAAATGTGAGACCAGGAAGAGGAGGAGAAGGAATTGGAGGGGGCCTGATAATCGTCGTCGTGGTTGTCTTGAGGTCGTGGTGATCGTTGCTGTGTTTGTCGTTGTTGTTGTTGGTAGTGGTGGTGGTGGTGTTGTTGTTGATGTTGAGGTTGCTGTTGTTGTCGTCGTCGTCGTCGTCGAAATCGCCATGGTCGTCGTGTTCATTTTGGTCGTAGCGAGAGTCGTCGTCGGATTGTGGTCCTCGTTGTGTCCGTCGTCGTGACAGTCGCAGTCGTCGGTGTATTCGTAATCGTCGCGATCGTCGTCATAGTCGTCGTGATCGTCGTCGCGGTCGTCATCGTGGTCGTCATCGCGTGGTCGTCGGGATCTGATTCGTAGTAGTCGGACTGGTTGGCGTTGGCTTCCTGATTGTGGTCGTCGTTGTCGTTGCGATCGTCGTCGCGATCGTCGTAGTAGCTGGTGTCGTCGTTGTCGTCGTCGTCGTAGTTATAGATCGTGGGTTGCTGTATTCTCGCTTGAGTCTCAAGTTCTTGAGGCAGACGATTTTCTGAGTGTCGAAGAAATTACCCCAGTGCGACCCTACCTAGAAGTTGGAGCCCCTAGGAAAGCAGCATTAGTTGCTATGCTATGTTGTGCTATGCTATGCCATGCTATGCTGCGCTATGCTATGCTATGCTATGCTGCGCTATGCAATGCTATGCAATGCTACGCTATGCTAAGCTATGCTATGCCATGCTGCGCTTTGCTATGCTACGCTATGCTATGCTAGGCTATGCTATGCTAAACTGCGCTATGCTATGCTATGCCATGCTACGCTGCGCTATGCTATGCTATGCTATGATATGCTGTGGTTGGCTATGTTATGCTATGCTATGCTATGCTAATGCAGCACTGCGCTATGCTATGCTAAGCTTTGCTAAGCTAAGCAAAGCTAAGCTAACCCTCTAGGCAGAGCCTAGATAGGGAATTACACCCATCGGGGCCAGCCGGCATCGAGGCTCGCTCGGCATCTGTCGCACATGCTTTTGCTTTGCCTTTCCCTTGCTTCGCTTTTGCTTTTGCTTTGCTTTGCTTTGCGTTGCTTGTGCTTTGCTTTGCTTTGCTGCTGTTGCTTTGCCTTTGCTATGTTATGTTATGCTATGCTCTGCTATGCTATGCTATGCTATGCTGCGCTGTGCTATGCTGTGCTGTGCTGTGCTGCGCTATGCTATGCTATGCTATGCTGCGCTATGCTATGCTATGCTGGGCTATGCTAGGATATGCTGTGCTGCGCTATGCTATGCTACGCTACGCTATGCTATGCTGTGCTCTGCTATGCTAAAGCTCAGCGAAGCTAAGACGAAGGTAAACTAAGCTAAGGTAAACCTGAGCTAAGATGAAGCTAAGCTAAGCTCATATGAAATAAGCTAAGCTAAGATGAGATAAGCAACGCTAAGCTAAGGGGACGCAGCTGGGGGAACCGCGGGGCGGATACTGGGGGAACCGCCTGGGGCGCTTTCCACTGCCCGGCCCCTTTTAAGCCCAGAGAGTAAGAACCCTTCTAGGCAGAGCCTAGGTATGGAATGATATACACAACACTTCTCGGCGCCCCTTGGGGATTTCTGGGATCGTCTCTGGATTCCCCTGGCGACGCCTCTGGCGCCGCCCCTGGCGCGCCCCGCGTGGCAGGGACGTGGTTTTTTAATGTGGATCCAAGAACTCCGCGCAGGCGCTGCGGTGAACGCGGCTGCTGTGGTGCACGCAGGCGCTGTGATGCACGCAAGCACTGTGATGTCCGCGGCAGCAAACACCAGCACAAAATACTGCACGAAGGAGAGCGTTGAGGATGCAAACGCTGTGTTGCTGCACGATGGTGCACGTATGAGCTGCGCAGTACGCTGATGCTTGCTGTGCTGCGCGCTGTGGTGCTTGCTCTGACCCGCACAGGCGCTGTGTTGCCGGAGCCGAACGGCGGCGGGGGGGGCGTTACGTCATGACCCCCCGCCCCCCCCCTAACGCGCGTTATGACTGCGAGTATTGAAACGCGCTCGAATGTACGCATGTCGCCGCCCAATCGACGAAGATGTGTCGGCCAGTGCTGGGGCCGTGCGTCTGGATGTCCAACCTTGCCTCCTGAAGATCCCCAGTCCGAGGCTTACGGCGATCCCACGCCGGTACCCGTGGGTTCCGTTGGCGCAACGTGATCCGTATATCCATATGCAAAGCTGCATGTCGATCACGCAGGCGGCCGTGCCGAGCAGGCATGGAACCCGTGGGTCGAGGGCCTCTCCGCACAGCGTGCCGTCGCGTCGTCGGTGCTGGCAGCGTGAGCCAGCGGGGCAGACCGAGCCGGCACGTGAGGGTCATCTCGAACTGGTCGTCTGGTTGCACAGGCTCCCCCGTTGCCGCGGCTGGGGAAGCGCCCCTGCGCCCACGCCGCCGCACTCCCGCAGCGCCAGGCGGTCGCTGTCTGGGAGCTCCCGCAGCAGCCGCTCTCTGTTTCTCCTGGAGGCCGCCTGGCTCCACACGCCCTCGAGGTTCGCGCGGGGCTCCTGGAGATTACGGGCCCAGTCGATGGGCTGTCCGTCTGTCGCCCCCGAGGCTTGCAGCGCCTGCTCGGCTTGGGCGAGCGCTTTTACCGTTCGCGGGCACCGCGTCTGGAACCGCTCCAGCGTGCTCACGTCCAGGCTCCCCCCCTCCCCTGCCCGTCTGCCTCCTCCTCCTCCTCCTCCTCCTCCTCCTCCTCCTCCTCCTCCTCCTCCTCCTCCTCTCCTCCTCCTCCTCCTCCTCCTCCTCCTCCTCCTGCTCCTCCTCCTGCTCCTCCTTCTCCTCCTCCTCCTCCTCCTCCTCCCGCCTCCTCCTCCACCTTCTTCTCCTCCTCCTCTCCCTTCCTCTTCCAATCCTTCTCCTTACACGTGAATCATCCCCGTCGCATCCCGGGGCCAGTCGGAAGGGCGGCCCTGTGGTTTGGCTTGAAACCTCACCATTTTATGCAACTGAAGCTTACAAGTGGATAACCGTTTCGCAGATTGAGGGCGCGTGGTTTCCAACATGTGACTCTCGCCTTAGCGCCGCGCGCCTTCGCTTGAAACATGTCCAAGAGTTGCACGGGTGAAGGGCGTGTCGTTTTCCAAAATTTAGCTCTCGACTTAGCGCCGCGCAACGTCGTTTTTTAACAGGTGCAAGAGTTCCACGGGTGAAGGGCGTGCTAGCGCCGCGCACCTTCGTCTAAATTACTTGTAAGAGTTTCACGGGTGGAAGGCGGTGCTTTTTCAACATGTGGCTCCTGCCCTAGCACTGCGCACATTCGTTGCACATGATTTAAATAGCTTCGCGAGTGTAGGGCGGTTCCTTCTCAACATGATGGACCCACGAACCCGGAAAGGGATATAGAACCGCATGCATGGAAACGTTTTCACGACACCGTATTGGGCGACGGGCACTTCCACGAGACACCCCGCGAAACATGCCACGAGACACGGGCGACCGTTTTCAACGTTTTCCTGGAAACATTCCATGAGACACCCCGCGAAACAGTCCACGAGACACCCCACGAAACATTCCACGACGACAGGCAACCACTCAACCAAGGCGGTGTGGTCGTGCTGGGGAGTGGTCGTGCTGGGGTGTGGTCGTGCTGGGGGGTGGTCGTGCTGGGGGGTGGTCGTGCTGGGGGGGTAGTCGTGCTGGGGGGTGGTCGTGCTGGGGCGTGGTCGTGCTGGGACGTGGTCGTGCTGGGGCGTGGTCGTGCTGGGGTGTGGTCGTGCTGTGGTGAGGTCGTGGTGGGGTGTGGTCGTGCTGGGTGATGGTCTTGCTGGGGTGGGTTCGTGCTGGGGAGCAAGCCTTTCGCTCGAGACATCCTCGGTAACTCTGCGGAGCAAGCGTTTCGCTCGAGACATCCTCAACACACGAAAGAGTGGCCCGCACCCTGTGATTTATCGTTCGGGATTTCAAAAACAAGCGTTTCGCCTGAGACATCCTCAAATTTTCATCCGCCGGCCCACCTCGACCTCGAGATTTATCAGGGAAAGAATCCGCCGGCCCACCTCAGTTGAGGCACCTGGGACAAGTTTACAAACTAAAAGAGAACCCTGGGCCTATGCCCTTTCCGGGAAAAGTGGCTCTCGCCTTAGCGCCGCGAAAACTTGTATTGAGAGTTTAAACCAGTTTCAGGAGTTTCATGGTTGACGTCTCAGAAGTGGTATTTTGGCACGATTTTGGACTGCCAGGGCACAACCCAGGAATGTCGTTCTGGCCCGATTCAGCACCGTCAAGACGCAGCAGTCACGGTGATTCGCGGCGTTGAAGTCCCAGGAATGGTGTTCCTGGCGCAGTCCGGATTTTCAAACAGTTGTCTTCCAACGGGGCCTTCCCAGAAATGAAAATGAATCCTTGTAGCGGCCTGAAAAGAGAGAACTTGGAGGGAGGGTTTGTTGTAATATCGTTGGTGAATCTTGGGTTTGTACTGGTCCTCCTTCTCCTCCTCCTCCTCCTCCTCCTCCTCCTCTTCCTCCCCCTCCCTCCTCCCCCTGCCTCCTGCCTGATCGTTTTTGGCAACCACGCTGCCCACTCGGTCTGCTGCCAGTTTGTGATCCTTCGCTTCGGCTTGTTTTGATTGGCATGGTGGAGTCCCCCTATCAGTTGGGAAGGTTGGGATGATGACATTTTCACCATCGTGGTTTTTCATATAACACAAACAGTTGCGCCCAGAAAAAGAAGGCGCCTCGCGTTCGAGGTATCGGAGCCCAGATCTCCCATGATCTGATTTTTGTCATTTTCTGCGTGTCTTTTCGATTTCGGCTTCGGGGCCCGTTGCCAGGCCCCAGGGTCGTCAGAATTGGGTCGGGAACGAAAAACTATCCCCACGGAGGGGGTCGGTGACTGGGGCCGCGCCTTGAAACAGTCAGATCCTCGGATGTCTGGGAAGGCTGCCTCCCCTTGCTCGGCGGAAGGCGGCGGAAGGCAGGCGTCAGTAGAGCGAGGGCGCCTCCGCTGGCAAACGGCTGATGGAAGTAAAGCATTGCCCCCAAGGGGATGGCATCCTGCTTGGCTTCTGGGCCCCCGGAGCCCGCCGAGTCCACGACGGGCGCCTTTCCTGGGAGCTGCGCTCCCGGGAGGGCCGCTCTCCAGGCCCCCGGGGCTGCCGAAAACCTTGTGGGTATGACGAACGAACAACGCACACACCCATACCCATGAGGGGGTCGTTGGGAGGAGGACTGGCTATTGGCATGGGTGCGGGTCGTCGGGCCCTAGGGGACGCTCCCGTTCGAGCGGGGACCCCCATCCGACAGCACGCACCCATAGCCCTCTCCGACCCCCCCCCCTGTGGGTATGTGTGTGTGTGTGTGCGTGTGTGTGCGTGTGTGTGTGTGTGTGTGTGTGTGTGTGTGTGTGTGTGTGTGTGGTGTGTGTTGGTGGTTCGTCACGTGGGCGGCGAGGACAGGTCCCCCGGGCATGGGGTCGAGACCTCCAGGGGCCCACGTCCAGGCAGAGAGGCGGGCCGCTGGACGTCTGGGCCCCCCCTGCCTAAGAGGGCCAGGAACTCTGTGGCGTGGCGTGTCGCGCCGCTCCTCCTCCTCCTCCTCCTCCTCCTCCTCCTCCTCCTCCTCCTCCTCCTCCTCCTCCCTCCTCCTCCTCCTCCTCCTCCTCCTCCTCCTCCTCCTCCGCTGGAGGCAGTGCGTCAGCTTGGCTGAGCATTTCAAAGGCGTCTCATCAAACATCCATCATCGGGCTTCCTTTGGTTGTCGGCTGCATACTTCGCCAGGGCCAGGCCATGAGGGCTTGCAGCCCGAACGGTCTCCCTGTCTTTTTCTGCGGAGGAGCCAGAAGCTCCTCAGCCGGAACCTGCAGCGCGCGCTGAACGAGACGGGCGAGTGCCTGGTGGACGGGACGGCACTGTAGGGCGCCGCGCGGCCAGCTAGGAAAGCACGGCCTGGCCATCAAGGGCAACGCCGGGTGGGGACAGGCTCGGCGGATGGTGCATCCACCCCCCGATCGCCCATGCATCGCCGATGGGCACCCGGACAGCCCTCCTCGTCCTCCTCCGCCTCCTCCTCCTCCTCCGCCTCCTCCTCCTCCTCCTCCTCCTCCTCCTCCGCCTCCTCCTCCTCCTCCTCCTCCTCCTCCGCCTCCTCCTCCTCACCGCTCCCAGGTGCGTGCGGATGCGCCATCGGGGGCCCGTCGCCGATCTATCGGCGAGGCGTCGCCGCTTCCAGCTCGGTGCTTCCCCCTCCCGAGCCGGCCCCCCCCCCTCCGGGCAGTCGACGGCCCCGGCCGACCACGTCGGCCCCGGCAGACGAGCAGGACCCAGACCCATCTGGTGAAGGGCGCGGAGGGGGAGGAGAGGGAGGAGGAGGAGGAGGAGGAGGAGGAGGAGGAGGAGGAGGAGGAGGAGGAGGAGGAGGAGGAGGAGGAGGAGGAGGACCGACCCCTGCCGACCGACCCCTGCCTCCTCGACCCACCCCTGCCTCTTCCGCCCCTCCATCTGCCGTCCCAGATCCTCGGCTCCCTGCCGCGTGTCAGGTCGGCAGCAGGCCCTCGCGGTGGGTCGGCTTGGGGCCCAGCTGGGGTTCGGCGGCCCCTGGAGGCCAGGAGAAGGGAGGAAGAAGAGGAAGAGGAGGAGGATGAGGAGGAGGAGGAGGAGGAGGACGAGGACGAGGACGAGGAGGAGGAGGAGGACGAGGACGAGGATGAGGAGGAGGAGAAGGAGGACGAGGACGAGGAGGAGGAGAAGGAGGAGGAGGAGGAGGAGGAGCGTGAGAAGCACGAGGAGTGGCATGATAATGCTGCTGCTGATGATGATGCTGATGATGAGGATGATTCTGATGACGATGATGATGGTGGTGATGATTATCATGATGATGCTGATGATGATGATGCTGCTGCTGCTGCTGCTGATGATGATGATGATGATGATGATGATGATGATGATGATTTGGTTGGTTGTGGTTGTTGTCATTGTTGTTGTTTGTTCTTAGGGTTGTTGTTGCTGCTGCTGTTGTTGTGGTGGTCGTGGTTGTTGTGGTTGTTGTTGCCGCTGTTGTTTTTTTTGTTGTTGTTGTTGTTGCTGCTGCTGGTGTTGTTGCTGTAGTTGTTATCGTTGCTGTTGTTTTTGTGTTTGCTGATGCTTCTGCTGCTGCTGTTAATGCTCTTGTTGTGGTTGCTGTTGCTCTGGCTGTTACTGTTGCTGCTGCTGTAGTTGTTGTTGCTGCTGCTGTTGCTGCTGCTTTTGCTTGTGGTTGTGATTGTGGTTGTTAATGCTGCTGTTATTGTTGCTGTTGTGGTTGTGGTTGTTGTTGTTGTTGTTGTTGTTGTTGTTGTTGTTGGTGTTGTTGTCTTATTTCTGAAGAATAATTCTTGTTGACCCCCCCGCCCGGTGCACACTTTTTTTTCTATTGAAGTGCCCCTCCCGGGCCCCCCTACCTAGTTTCTTTAATTAGGGAAAGTCTTGAGGCTCAAACTGTGTCGTTGGCCCCCCTGTTTACAACAACAACGGCTCCCGCCTGATATTTCCTTACAATGTACTGCAGAATCGCGCTCTCGCTTGGGACTCCCTGGCAATTTACCACCGAATCTCGGTTCCCGTTTGATATTTCTTGACAATTTATTGCAGAACCGCGTTCTCGCTTGGGACATCCTCGCAAGTTGTCCGCTTATATTACATCCTCGCTTGGGACATCTCGCTTGGGACATCCCGCAAGTTGATATTTCTTGACAATTTATTGCACAACCGCTTATACTCAAGACTCCCAGGAGGCCCTGAAGCTTCCATAGTCCCTGTTGAATTGTAGCCAGGAAATAGTGGTTATTGTTGGACACCCTGACTACGCTTTCGCGCTCTCGCGCCTGCTCCGCGCGACCTCGCTCTCGCCCGTGTCCTGGGGTGTGGCGTCGTCGCCGTCGTCGTAGTCGCTAAACTAGTTATATTGTTGGACACCCTGACTGCGCTTTCGCGCTCTCGCGCCTGCTCCGCGCAACCTCGCTCTCGCTCGTGTCCTGGGGCGTGGCGTCGTCGCCGTCGTCGTCGTGCTCTGGAGGCCGTCGGGTCTTCCTGGATCTTCTGGATACACCTAGGGCCAGGGTTTTTGTTTGGGGCGGAGGAGTGCAAGGAGGAGGAGGAGGAGGAGGAGGAGGACGATGACGACGACGACTAGGGCGGCGGCGGCGGCGACGACGACAACGACAACGACGACGAGCCCCGGCGCCTTCAGAGAGCGGCCGACGCAAAAGCGGTCCCCGGGAAGGGGTCGAAAGCCAAGTGGCCCGGGGTCTGAAGCTTCTCTCAGAGGCCCTGGGGGCTCTCCACGGGGCTCTCCCAGAGGCTGTGAGGCCTCTACCTGAGCTCTTAGGCCACCCAGGAGTCGTGATACCTAGAGGCAAGGCGTGGGCAGGGGGATTGCGAAGGCGATGTGCCGTCCGGCTTGGAGATGTTGATTTTGCTTGGGAAGAGGTTTTGTCAAGAATTCCTCGGGCGGGAGATCAGGGAGAGGGAATATCGTCCCCCGGTGTACAATGACAAATCCCCCATGAGGGGGAGCTATCATGATGGATGCATGCTGCATATAGAAGCATGACGCGTCGGGGTACATTGATTGTTGCTGTTTTTTGTGGTTGATGTTGTTTCTGCTGCTGTTGCTACTGTTGTTTGTGTGTATGGGTGTTCTTTTTGTTGTTGTTGTGGTTGTTGGTGTTGTTGTCGTGGAACATTATTAATTCTAAAGAATAATTATTGTTGGGCCCCCTGGTGCGCGCCCCCCCCCGCCGCGCCTAGGCCGCAGCCACGTTTTCATCATTTTCGTGAGGAAGCCTCAGGTAATTCGAGGTGATCAAGATCCGGTTGTTTTGTTGTAATCCGTTTTCCCTTGCAAAAAACACTATAAAATGACATTTCTTGTTCTAATATAATCAAATTTCAAGAATCCCTTGCAAAAAATAAGGTAAAGTGGACATTCGCGCGCGCAAGACGAAATCCTTCCAAAAGCTTAGTGTTCGGAGCGATTTTAACATAAAAACATCAAAAAACCAATGGTTTTTCAACAAAAAAATGTCAAAATCTCATCCCGCGCGCTCTTGCGGATTCGTAGGAAACCAACACTTTTTAAACATTTCTGTCAAACGGGCTTTTGCGAGCAACTTTTTCGAACTTCTGCGACAACGGTTGCGCACCTGCCAGGGCCATCATCCCTGTCAAATAATACCATGCGGGACACATTCGTTTTTTCTTCGCGCGCGCACGCCGAAATCTCCAAAAACCATTGGGTTTTTAAGAATTTTAGCACCGCGCATCATAAAATCACACGAATCGCACCGTAGGTCCTCGAAAAACACCTGCACGACTTTTCAAAATTTCCACCCGCGCGCGCTGTCCGAATCCTAAAAAAACCAATGGTTCTCCAACAATATTTATGTATTGTATGGCACAATTGCACCATGCTGGGCACACGCGCGCCCCGAATAAGTGACCAAGTTCTGTGGGTGTGTACCCCACGCCAGTGTAGTAGCCACGGTCGTCCGCACGCCACGAAGTGAAGTGTCCCAACGTCATAGGGCGGGAAGCTGGGTTTGGGTGGTCGCGAAGAGTCGTTTGGATATTTGGTAGAGCTTGTAATGCCCCCCCACGAAGTGGGGGTATTGCCTGGTGTCGTATGAAAACCCTGGCACTGGGGAGAACACCACGCGTTCGGGTAAAATGATTGTTGTTGTTGTTGTTGTTGTTGTTGTTGTTGTTGTTGTTGTTGTTGTTGTTGTTATTGTTATGGTTGTTATTGTTGTTGTGTTTGTTGTTGTTGTTGTTGCTGCTGCTGCTGATGTTGTTGTTGTTGTTGCTGCTGTTGTTGTTGGTGTTGTTGTTGTGGTTGTGGTTGTTGTTGTTGTTGTTGTTGTTGTTGTTGCTGCTGCTGCTGTTGTTGTTGTTGTTGTTGTTGTTGTTTGCGTTTGTGTGAGTGTGTGTGTTTTGTTGCTGTTGTGTTGTGGCTGCTGCTTAGACTGCTGCTGCTTTTGTTGCTTTCGTAGCCGTTGTTATTGTTGCGGTTCCTCGTGTTGCTGTTGTTGATGATGATGCGGATGAGGTTGACGCTGGTGATGACGATGCTGCTGATGATGGCGATGGCGATCGCGAATATGCTGATGCAGATGGCGGTGTTGATGATGATGGCGCGTGCGAATATGATACTGGTAATGATCATGATGATAATGACGGTGCCGATGCCGATGTTTATGCTGATGCTGACGGTGATGATGATGCCGCTGATGATGGATGTTATGAAGATGAGTATGTTGATGGTGGTGAGTAGAGGGTTGCAGAGGATGGTGATGATGATGATAATGATAATGGTGGTGATGATGATGAGGAGGAGGAGAAGGAGGAGAAGGGGGATGCTGCTGCTGCTGCTTCTGCTGATGATGATGATGATCATGATGATGATGATGATTATGATGATGATGATGATGATGATGATGATGATGATGATGATGATGATGATGATGATGATGATGATGATTATGATGATGATGATGATGATGATGATGATGATGGGAAGGAGGAGGAAGAGTAGGAGGATGAGGAGGAAGAGGTGAAGGAGGAGGAGGAGGAGGAGGAGGAGGAGGAGGAGGATAACGCGATTTCTACGTGGCCTCCCGGAAGGCCGTGGCGACCGACAGCTCAGTCTGCGGGCTCCCCCTTCGAGCGCCAAAACTGCCCTCGCATTCGCGGGGGCGTGCCCGAGGGGGGCTGGGCCGAGCAAAAGGCACGTGTCCAGCCGCCGACCGCCGCCCCGACGCACGCGCAGCCGGCCCATTCTGCGCGGGGCTTGGCACAGCACTCGCTGCCGCTTGGGGGGAGACATGCCAGGGCCCCTTTTGCCCAGAGCAGGCCGAACTCCCCACTCGGGGTTTTCTGAACC